GCTGACTGACTGACGCACAGACGCTTCGGCTCCGTGTCCGAGTCAGTAGCTGTTTTCAGCCGGCCGCTCGTAGCGTGTGAAGAGCGAACCGAAAACACTCAGCATATGAGGGCAACGGCATTATCTGACTGATGAGAAAGAGCAAAAGAAAATGAAATCAGATAAAGTGACTTTGTGGTGTAGTGTGGTGAAGTGAAGCAGGTTTAGGCTTGTTTGGCGACTTACATGCGACCCCTCATGCACTTACACACGTCCATCTATGTTCAAAATATAACAGAAAATATTGCTTAAAGACAATAACTATTCCTATTTTAAGAACAATTTTTGTTTGTAATAAAGAAAACTAAATTTAATTTTAAATTTAATTTGTACTTTGAAATGTACTACTACAAACATTTTAAATAATATATTATTATTTGTCGTTTAACAGTAGTTAAATGAATGAGAATGTGCTTATTTAACATTAAACTAAAAATGAACATGAAAAAAGTTATAAAAATAGGCATTGATTGATTGATTGAAGGAATTTTGATGGAATTAATTTGAAGGAATTTCGGTATTTTTTTACACAGGTGTTTTACCTGTATTTTGAATTTTGCAATTATTATTTCAGTGTACAGTGTACTTTAATTATTTTATTTTATTTTGGGGTCAAATATGATCTGAACATTTCATATTTTCATCAAATTAACTCAAAATGTCTGTATGCTGACTACTAAACATATATTGCATAAATTCATATTATGATATGTATACTGCGTAAAAGTTTTTATTATTCATAATGGACATTTTGTCTTTTAACCTGTTTATCTTGTATATTATGTTTTAGTTTTATTCTGCAAATATAAATAGAAAATATTTTGCATAAAGATATATTTTGCAAGGTTTATGATTCCTATTTTTAAATTCATTGAGACATTTTTTTAAGTTCATATTCCCACATCACCCTTCCATAATCTCATGATCCCTGTCCAGACAATATTAATATTGTTTTACAAATATTTTAAAGCTGTTTTACTTTGAATTTAATTCAAAGTCCGAGTTAGCAAATGAATGACATCATGTTGTTCATGGTCTATTGTAGATTAAATATTTATGTAAAAAGCAAAAATTGAAAGCAATAAATTAATGTATATATATGTATATACAGTATATATATATATATAGAGAGAGAGAGAGAGAGAGAGCTGAATGAAAGAAAAAAATGTGTATTTTAATGTATTTTAAAGTCTGTAAGCCTGAGTTTGCATATGACTGGCCAGGCCTGAAGATCTTCAAAATTGTAAAATTTGTAATACTTTTATTGTACTTGGATTATACTTGTAGTACTTTTAGTACTTTAATTTTTTTATTTTTTAACAGAAATAAAAAAAAAATTTATTTGTAGGTGAATAAAAAAAACTGTTGATCATAATTACTGGACAAGTTTAAAATATTTCATAAAACTTGCACTCACAATTACTAATTGTGAATAATAATAAATTATATTGTATAATTGTATTATATATATGTTTAATATATGTATGGATAAGAAAAAATAGACGCTATACACAATATATATATATATATATATATATATATTTATTTAAATGATAATAAAATAAATATTAAAAATAAAAACAATTTTACAAATATTTTAGGGCTGAGCATAAGAAAAAATATTTAGTGATTTAATGCATTAATTGTAATAGCTGAGTTATTGATAATTTTGTCTTTGTTCATGGTGTAATTAGCTGGTGTTCATGGTTCAGTATCTTTGTGGAGTTAGTTGTTTCTCAGAAGGGGAATAAATAAGCTCTTGGTATTGGTGTCGGGTCGAAGCATCTGTCCGGGTTTCCTGGCCAGCACAAGCTTTAGATGCATTGGGAGAGTTTGGATTACAGAGACCAGGACACCACCATGACACTAATACCCAGGAATACCCTTTAGTCACCAACACGCTCCGAACCGACCCGAGAGAGACACGCGGACTGAGAACCAAAACTACATTTTAACTAAGTTTTCATCATGAAATAATGGCTGTTTGTCTCTGTGGCTCTCAGGTCTGTGTGGGAGTCTGGGCTGGTGAATGTAGGTCTCTCAGGGCCGGCCGGTCGGGTCAGAGCAGGCTTACGCTGTAATCCCCCCAGCAGACGTCCATATCAGGAGCGGCAGGAGGAGGTGTGGCGCTCGTCTAGACGGCCCGCAGACGCTCCCCCTCCCCCAGAGACCTGCTGTTCCTGGCACATAACCGGCCCACGGGGCATTCGAGTTAGACTGAGGGAATTTTCTCTCACAGAAGCTCATTCACATTGTCCATGAAGCCTCATTAAATATTAAAACATGACACAGATGGAAATGATTCTGAAAATAAAGAGCAATGTGGGTCATTAGTTGTGAGATTTTCTATCTGCATGAACCGCTTTTGACCAATGAATTTCCATGAATTTTACAGTTCATCATGATTACTAGACTGAGTTTGTTATATATATTTTATAGTTTATGTATTATGTAATAAATTATATATATAAATATCTAATATATGTACGCTTACATATACTAAACATTTTTTTATAATTTAGCATAAGAAAAAAATAAGACACACTATGCACATATAAAGTATATTTACATATTTTTAAATAAAAAATAAACACTAAATATTATTTAACAAATATTTTAGAGCTGAACATAAGAAAAATATTTTGTTTTAAATCATTAATTGTAATAGTTTAGTTCATCATTTTGTCTCTTTAAGGTGTAATTATACACAGTATATATATTATATATAAATTTCTAGAAGATTTCCATCTTCAAAGTCATAACTCTGCTAAAATGTCTGCTAAAATTTGTGGGTGAAAAAAAGACTAGAAAAAAATGAATAAAATGAAGAAATAAAACTGCTGAACTGTTAGACTTACAATAACCAGTGGATTAGCAAAACAAACACAAATTCAGAGATGTATTCGGTATTTTTTGTTTTATTTTGGCATTTCTTTGTTTGCATTTATATTAAGCAAAGTGCATCTCTTTTTCTCATCAACACATTGCACAATACATAAATAACAATGCATATAAAACTTCGTATTTACAGGTAATAATATATTTATATTTAACATAAAATACATTTTAGCTTTTATTTCACTTAATTAAATCTTAGTCATTTATTAAACAAGTCCAAGTGAGGTTCCGTTTTCCATTTCTCTCGCAAAACATCCTTCGGAGAACTTCTTGTGAAAAACAAAACAGAAAGACAACATAGTCCATAAAAGGTAAGGGGTAGTCCGTCTCCATGAAGGAATGGGGGGCGTGGTGAGGGGGTGGGGCTCGCTGTTATCGGTTATTGAATATGACCTCAAGCCAGCAGGGGCAGCTGCTGATGAACTGTCTGGTGTAGCACTGCCCCCAGCCCTTCACGAAACTGATCTGCACGGTGAAGCCCGTCCGCGGCTGCTGGCTGAACTCGTGGTCGTTGGGCCGCTGTAGGCTTCCCGCCTTCTCGAAGTCGAAGGCCTTGATGGAAAAGCCGGGGAATACTTTATGCACCAGCAGCGTACGCGAGTCAGGGTTGTCCAGTGTGGCTGACTTGATGAATATGGGGTAGCAACTCCTGTTATACACCCACACGCCGTCGGGTTCGCGGCTCAGTTGGATGCCGTAGCCGATCTTGGCCCGAACCATTTGCACCAGTTGACTCTTGTTGTCGGAGGCGAGCTGGCCCAAGCAAAAGCCCGTGCCCTGAGGTAGGTCATAAAAGATGTCCAGAGATGGCTCCTGGACGGAGTAGAGGCGCCCAACGCGGGTCTTTTCTTCCCAGTATGCCACCACACACCAGTGAGGCTGTTCTCCACGCTCCTGAAGAGCCAGGGAATCTACAGAGAGACAAGAAAGACGTGGTTATTCATTATGCCAGTTTAACTACAAGTGAACTTCATTGAATCCCTGCTGGAAAAGCAAGGAAATCCCAGATTACCATGGTCAAACTGGTACTTGCTGGTCTACCAAGCCCACCAATGGGTAGGCCATCTAACCTAGGTTATGACCAATTTGGACCAGTAAGAACCATCAGAAATTGGCTTTACTAGAGTTTCCAACAGAGTAAAAGTGAACAAAGTGTTGATTGAGGAAGTAAAGAGAAAGAGCCAATTATTAATTATATCATCAAGTGAACTTCAATGAATCCCTGCTGGAAAAACTAGAAGATACCAGATCAAGGTGGTTAAACTGGTACTTGCTGATCCAAGATGGTTTACAAGCTCTTCCAGCCTGATCAAGATGGACTGGTAGGCTGAACACAAAACCACCAATGGGTAGGGCCATCTAGACTAGATTATAACCAACTTGGACCAGTAAGAACCATCAGAAATTGGCTTTACTAGAGTTTCCTACAGAGTAAAAGTGAACAAAGTGTTGATTGAGGAAGGAAAGAGAAAGAGACAATTATTAATTATGCCAATTTAACGTCATCAAGTGAACTTCACTGAATCCCTGCTGGAAAATCTAGAAGATGCCAGATTAAGGTGATCAAACTAGTACTTGCTGGTCCAAGGTGGTCTACAAGCTCTTCCAGCCTGACCAAGACGGTCTACCAGGCTAAAACCAAGACCACCAATGGGTAGACCAACTGATTAACCATCTAGAATAGATTATGACCAACTTGGACCAGTAAGAACCATAAGATATTGGCTTCACTAGACTTTCCATCAAGAACCAAATATTATTTATGCCAATTCAACTTCATCAAGTGAACTTCACTGAATCCCTGCTGGAAAAAAACAGAAAAAGCAAGATCAAGGTGGTCAAATTGGTACTTGCTGCTCCAAGGTGGTCTACAAGCTCTTCCAGCCTGACCAAGATGGTCTACTGGGCTAAAACCAAAACCACCAATAATTTGTGACCAACTTGGACCAGTAAGACCCATCAGAAACTGGCTTTACTAGAGTTTCCAAAAGTGAACAAAGTGTTGTCAAGGAAGGAAGGAGAGAGCTGAGGAGATAAATTGACTAGATTAGATGGGAACAGTAGCACAAAAAGGTAAACACACACACACACTTTCACACCAGCGCATGCCTTCTGTCCAGGAAAACCATCCTGAGCTCTGCCAAACATATCTTGCATCCTTAATTTCAGCATTCACGAGAGGCAGTGACGGAATGTGAGGAATCTGCCGCCCCGCACAGAGCAGCGCCACTGGCCTCCAGCGCTTGTTTACATTAGCAGTACTGCTTATCATTCGTCTGGGCCTCTGTTCCCTACGCCAACCCGAACAATGTTCTGACGTCAGCGCTACAATAAATCTAAATTGTGCTCGCCCTCGCCAACTAACAGCAGTTTTGATAGCGAAAGGAGAGAAATCTGCTGTCAATGCCCATTCTGAGTTTTGTGATGTAACAATATAGAAGACACCAAATATATAATAATCATGCAATGAACTTTATGCAACTTAGCTCCGCCTACAGGAAATCTCATTGGTCCACATCTTGCTCTGTATATTAAACACCATGCTTTGCGCAATGTTTTTGCTTTCAGTGAAAACAAAAATTGATCTGACGTCCGGTTAGTATACAATGTTAAAGTTAAGTAGTTCTTTAGTCATCTGGACTCTTTGTTTGTCCACAGTAAGAACAGTCTCTCTTTAATCTCAGATCGGGTGAGTAGGCCGTAATTTAGCAGGATAGTTAATTACGCACCAAGCCAGACTAAGTTGATGACTAGAGTAGGTAGAGCCATCATTACAACCCTTACAAACATGCTTGTTTGGATATGTTACCATAGTAATACCATTATATGCTTTGAAGAGCTTACAGTGCCATTTAAGTAGCATTGTATGTGAATACAGTAATCAAACTGCATCAAGGTATATATTAAAATAACACAGTATTATTGAATCATAAAAAATAACGACAAGTAAATACTTTAAATATACTGTGGAAGTACCATGGTACAGTGATAGTGTCAGAATGATTTGTGAAGGATCATGTGACACTGAAGACTGGAGTAATGATGCTGAAAATTCAGCTTTGATCACAGGAATAAATTACATTTTAAAATATATTCAAATGGATCACAGTTATTTTAAATTGTAAAATATTTCAATTTTTTTTTCATAAAAACAAATGCTGTCTTGGTGAGCATAAAGGACTTTGTGAATGACAAATTGTTAAACATTACTAAGCATCAAATTACACTATGTAAAAACCACAGCAATACCAATCCAATACCATGGTATGTATATTAATATTTCACAGTATTACCATCACTCAAGCATAGTACAGAACAGTGTCTACTTCCTGTTTACTATTATATGGAGGGGGCTCATTATATGTTTAGTGTGTGTGGTTGCTATGTGCCAGACTGATGCTATTTCAGTCTTAATAGTTGACTAGTCTCTCTGACGACACCGTGAACAGCAAGCAAACCTGAGTCACACACACACACACACACACACACACACACACACACACACACACACACACACACAAATCATACATCAAACAGACCACTGAGTTTGTGTGTGTGTGTGTGTTCAGATGACACAATGTGGTTATTCAACTAGAGCCGCAACTGCACAGGTACTTGTGTGTGTGCGCGTGTGAACGGATTTGTGCGTATAGGTTATGGATTTACTGCTGTGTGTGTGGCGTCTCGGTGTCGGTCGGTTGGATGACCACAGTGTCACCCCGAATGACATGGTGACAGCCAGACACAGAGAGTGTCCTGAAATAGAGCGTGCAACATGACACACACACACACACACCTCATGTCTTCTACAGCCTCAAGCCTTCAGTTGACATCCTGAACTCTATTAGTCCAAACGCTCTCAACTAGAGCTATGTGAGTTCGTTATTGCACAGAAACAAAAACTCAAGTGTCTTCATAACAAACCGCCAAAAAAAAAACTGACTAAATAATATTGATTTTAGCCTATTATTTTTAACATTAATATAAAAATCTCTTGATCTCTTTAATATATTAAAGTTTTAATTTATACAGTAAAGGTCTATTGTACAGCACTCTATTTGGGAAAAAGCAGTCTTGCTGTAAATTATTTGTGTTTTCATTTTATTATAATGTATTATATGACATTTTATGAATTCAATTGAATAGACAGGCTGTTTAATGATTAAAAATGTAATTAAAGGTGAGGTAAGCGATTTTTCAAAAACGCTTTAGAAACCTGATTTGGGCCGAGTAGCAAAACAAACTTGTAGCCAATCAGCAGTAAGGGGCGTGTCTACTCATGATGTGGAGGCGAGCGTTCAGTGCACAAGATGGACATTAGCCGAGCGACAGAAAGATAAAGATGGCGAATAAAAAACAAAAGAGGAAAACGTCTGCGGAACAAAAGAAGGCTTAAGGCAAGAAGTAGGACCCATGTAAATATCGGATCAGCTTTCCAGCGCTGGAGAGATCTCAAGGAGCAGAAGGCCTGTGATCGGACGCCGAAGTTGCTTTGTTTCTTCTCGATAGTTGAGTAACACCGTGTCTGCGCCGCAACAGCTAAAGTCTGTCTAGTACACTGGACGCGACAAAGCGACCGTTGAAAATCATTTGAAATTTGTGTCAATACGTCATGAATAGAACGCAGCAGCAGTTTTCTGTCGGGGATTTGTCGTGTCGTGCCGCATCCAGAGTAGACCATAGATATGTATATACTGTATATCTATGGCGTAGACAGCATCACTGATTATAATGAGTTCCATAGTATTTT